AGAAGAAAAGAAAATCAGACACCAGCTCTGTACAACTCCAGCTTTTGAGGCAGCAAAGGTGAATCAACTCTTGAAGGATATTGGAGGAACAATCATGAGAAACATGGAAGAAAATGTAGGAGAGGTATGTCAGCAACAAAGGAAAGTAGAAAATTTAGAACACAGTATGGGCATTTAGATGGTCTATAAGATTTGCCAGACAGGTCTCTATTGGTCACTTGCCGTAAGGATGTGAATAGAGTGATGGAAGCCAAATTTCAGAGGGCAAAAAATATACTGAAGATGAGAAAGTAAACAAGCATAAACTGATTTTCTCAAAGTAGTTTTGCTATAAAGGATAGGAATGGAGCAAGCAACAGATTTTTCATATAGATGTCACTGCCTTTAAGTTAAGAGAAACATATTTATATGCTGATTGTTTCTTAATGTAATGGAGAAATTGATGACTCCGGAAACAAAAGAGTAAGTTCTTCAAGGAGGTAAAAGTGCAGGAGAAGGGATACTACCTTGGTCAGGAATATTAGTGCTATAAAGGCTGGAAGAAGGAGAGGCAAGACTGGGGAAACTGATCCATTTGAAGGGTAGATGAGGGGAAATTAATGTTCCAATTTTTGTGACTCCTATTTTCTCTTTCCAATAATTGCTGAAAGTTCAAGGACAATAGTGAAGTGCAATGTGGCTTAAAGAGATAGTTAAAAGTTTAATATCACAGTGGGGAACACTGAAAGTTACTAGCTATTACAATGTAATCACACAGATGATTTTATCCCCAACCTCTTCAGCAACCTGGAGGGGAAGGGGGCAAATGACAGTTGGTACATTTGTGACCAGCCTAGGAGTTTCAGTGTATGGCAAAGTTAATCCACACAATTGAAGGAATAGGTCATAAAGTTAAGGGTGGGTGCCCTGGTTGTCAATTTATTATCTCTTAACTCTAAATTCAATCTCTCACCCCCTCTGTGAAAATAATTCTGACTCCTTTAAGTATTTTTACTTTGCCAGATGGTTCAACAGGAAGTTTATGGTGGGCGTTGAGGAGGTGCTGGACTTAGAAAGGCACAGCAGTAGAAAGGGAAGGTTTGATCTAGGTGCTGGTTTGAAGGGAGTTAAGTAAGCTTCTGACTGGCAAGGAAGCTACAGCTTCCCCTGATACTCCTGGTCCCACCTTCAACATTATTATAGCAAACTGCCTCCCTAGGACAACTTTTTGCTTCTAGCATACTCCAGAGGGAAGATTTCCAGTAACTTCTGCTGTTCATTGAGCCATATATGGCCCTGCTGAAGGAGGTTCAGATCTTAGCTTTGAGCAGGGTCTTCTTTCCAGATGCTGCCCAAAGGGAAGGTCCTTAGCACCTACTCCAATATCTACTATTCCTACATTCTGTCATCTCTTAATTTCTTGTAATCAGTCCTTAGTACTCAACCCTTTGGTAGAGTTAACAACTTTCTATAGTAAACAGCCCAGTTCAAATTACTGTACACGCTTTCCCTTTGAATGGATTCAGATTGATAGAATGGTCAAAAAAAATAAAATAAAATCAGGAGACAGGATGGTTGGAATACAATGAAGACCAAAGGTCTAAAGATGTCTTCAAGTTTAAAGGAAGTTCTGGGGAAGATAAAAGGATTAGAGAGAAGGAAAGATGGGAGTTTGGAGACAGAAATTAGGTATAGGAAGAATCACTTTTTCCATTTTTCTTCCCAGAATGCTTCACAGCAAAGAGAAGAAGAAAGGAAAGAGGTTTCAAATATCTTGAAGAATGCAAGGAAGTGGCCAGGAGTTGGTAGCAACAGGAGAAAAGGTGGCAAAGATGCTGTCAGATGAGCCTTAACTGAATCCTTTATTATTGTGGTACAATTCATATATTTTACATGGACAAAAATAAGTATGATTTACAGTATCTTAAGATAGACTTCAGTTGAATGGGAGCTTCTAGAACTTCCTTGTAGCACTCTGAAGTCTCAAAGACATTTCTAGAAAATTTACTACTGTGGAAAATTAAGACTGCTTAAATCAAAGGAAGGGAGGGGGAACTATGGTTTTCCTTTTTGATTAATTGCTGTACCACTGTTCTTTTCATGGTTAAGTGAGTTTCATATTTTCTTTAGACCTCATTAGGTACCAAAGTTCAAGCAGGACAACTTTGAGGCTATATGAATTCTGCCATTTTGCTAGCGCTGGCTGTTGGATCCACCACTCCACTACCACTATTAAGTTCTTTGTTGTTGTCATTAAAAATCTTACAAAAGGGCTGTTTCTGGGTATTTTGGTATGTATTCTATTTTAAGGCTGTATATTTATTTTTCATAAATTATTCTTGGAGGCCCAGTTTTCATCCCTGTCCATCTTGTAAGTGCCATGTCTTCATTATCTAGATCCCAGCTAGCAGGGCCATCTCCTACTCCTTTCTGGCCTTCTTGAAAGTCTTCCAACAGTCAAAAATTGTGAGGGTCTTTTGTTCCCAAGTGCATGGTCTATGGCAGCTTGTGTCACTGTCACACAAAGATGGACTCCCTCTAACAGAAGACTTTTTATAGGAAGATGGATGCATGATATTTGGAAGCCTCAAAAAGAAAAGTAGGCAAATGCCATGACTGATCCAGTCCTTAGATGCTTTGGTTTGGGTCAATAAATGTCCTCCAGTGAAGAGAAATGCAAGATAAACAACAATCTCAGGGAGAACGCTAGGTTTTATTTAAGGCAAAAAATAAAAGGTTTTGAGAAGGCAACACAAACATGCAACCACCGCTGATCAAGAGAGAACAATAGAAAGGGAGGTTCAAAGGGTGGAGTGCAAAGAATAGAAGCCAAGATGTGTCTGGAACAAGCTGTCTCATCCCATGCCATCAGGACCAACTGTTGGTTTTTCCAGTAAGTTGGATACAATGGGAAATGATAAAAAAAAAAAAATCATACATACCATAAACACTTTATATAACTTAAAACATAAATGTACACACATGTGCCAATCTTTTGATGTCAAGCCAAGGCCTGTTCCTTGCATATGGATTTGCTGATTGGAGTTATGCGTCTTCTGTCTTACATAAACCACATCCTTCATCTATGATTTCCCGTTTTGCTTTCTTTACAGTGGAGGGAAAAGCTAAAGACTTGTGAAATAATCTGAATGCAGAGCTCATCAAGGTTTTTATGACACCCCCACATTCTTTTAGCATTGTCCTGCCTCCATTTTGTCAATAAATAGCAGTTTTTTAAAGATAACTAATCAAGTTTTCCAACATGTAGTATGGCCTTTGGAGGGTAGACTGTTTAACTTGTGGAACAGGAGTACAGGGGCAATCTAGAAACCAGTGTCTGAAAAAGACATCTGTGTGACAGGCTGGGAAATCTGTGTGCCTAATAGAAGATGCTGCAGTAGTTAATTCAGTATCAGTGAAGATCAGAGAAATTTACATTATTATATTTTTAATTACCAATTAGTATACTATATTTACTGAGGTGTCATTGGTTTACAATACTGTACAGAGGAATAGGAACACACCTCTTCAGATCTTTGCCACCACACTATAACAACCACCAGGGAACCATAGTTCTCCACTGGGCCCCCTGCACACTGGTTGCTTTTTGAGTCATAGACAAAGACAGCAGGATGTGAAGTGTTATTCACTGGTTTCAAGTTTCCAAATGAGGAAGTAGTATAAAATGTATTTTCTGTCCCATGTATATTTTTTATCCTTTCCTTAACTCCTATGGCCTTTCCTATTCTGGAGAAGACAGATTAGGACTCTAAGGGGAAGTGTGAAAGAAAAGAAAGAGGCCTAAAAATAGGTCCGAATTTCCACAATGTCTCCTGGACCGTGAGCTAGTTCCATTTCACTCTCTCCTTTTAGTACTGATGTCCAGGAACATCACCTACTTTCCTTTTCTACTACTTCCATCTTTCCTTCATCTGAGTTTTTCTGCCAGATAACTGGGGATCGATATACATATTAATCAGCATTCTTTATATACCTCATTTTATCTTATTCTTTCTTCTCATTATTTTTTTCAGGAGGATTACTCAGTATAAATGCACAGAAAAAGACGAGGAATAAAACTAACAAAATGAAAAGAATCTATATGTTCAAGAAGTGATAGAAGTACCTGCATTAACTGTCATGGGATTAGGCTACCCAGCCCTGAACATCATTATTTATCACTAAGTACTAGTACCAACAGAGGGTACTCCTTTCCCTCCATTCTGCATGGAATCCAACGCAATTCCTCCATGCTCTCAGCCAGGTGTCCTGAGATTGGAAAGTCTTTTTATCACCACTCTACATGATACAATCAATGGATATTACAAGACGAGAATACTGGGTGCTACTAAAATTGGCATTGACTGATAGCCACCACTTACAAGGCTAATCAGTTCAGTAAATGCAAGCAGGGGCTTCGGGCATCACCTTGCTTTATCTTCACTGAGGCATTATTGTTATTGTTATCATCATCATCCCCACTTCACAATGAAATTAACAAGTCCATTTGCTGTTCATGGGTACATAATAAGTATGTCAGAGGCAGGATTTGTGTCTCAGTAACTGAACTCCAGAGGCTGGGCTGGGAACTTCTACATCACACTGCCCCTTCCCAAAATGTCGAGGTTCAAGTGAAGTGATTTATAATTTATAAGAATTTCCCTGCTGATATACCCAAAATCAATGACCCACTTTCCCTACCATTACTTCCATCTATGTATCATAAGAAAAATTAGTTTAGGGCTATCACCCAGTTGTTCTAAAGTGGTGTTTATCTTGTTTAAAACGATAAAAATTAGCTTACTAAAATATACTTTCTGATTTAAGAAACTCTATTTGGAAAGGGGCGATAAAAAACAATATGTCCTTCTACCATGAAAGCAATTCTACCCAGTATTTTTCACAATCCTTCCTTGGGCAAGCGCACATCCTTCCATAACAAAGTAAGGGTCAGGGCAACAGGGTGAGAAATATGGGTAGACCAACTGGCACTGGCCAAGTATTAAGTAATTCAAACTTACTTTTTTGGTACACTTCTTGACGGTGTTGATTAATTCTTGCATTACCAGATCTACACTCTTCAATGAAGGCCCTTTCAACTTTACAATTTGTTTTTTGACTATTGCTTCAAATGCCATGTCTGGAGTAAATAACCCTGTCCTGCATAAAAGAAAGAAGCAAATCCAATTTTATACATTGAGTAATATACAGTACTCTTTTGAAAAATCTTTTAAATGACATGCCAGTTAACATAGGCATATAATCCCCAAGTTTGAATGTTACAAGATTTATTCTATCCATAATGTCACTTGTAATATCTTTCAAGCTACCATGTCATAATCAACTTCACTGTATACATGATTAACATTACCTGAAAATAGTCCCCATATTGTTTTCACAGCCCATATTGCAACCTTTCATATTTAACAGAATTTTTGTCTAATTTTATTGCTTCATAACAGTAAAAAGGTATGTTATAATAGAAATGATGTCCTAAATTTTCATCTCTATTTCTAAAGTATTCTAAAAGCAACCTTCTCCAATTTGTTGTGAGGTGTGAAAAGATCCTCACTTTTTGAACCTAAACACAGCAGCATTACTGGACTACACAGTCTACTCTTTCCAGGAAAGCTGTTAATAGTGAGCTCAGCAGTTTCCAGTATATAGTCCTGAGGTGCTGTAGGAAAAAGAAGGCAGAGAAGGAGGACTAGCTTCAGACCGGATGCCTAAATTGTACAAGATGAACATACAAAACTAAAAAATGCAGAAATAGTACATCTCTTTTCATTTGCCCATAATTTTGCTCAAACTGATGTAAGAATGCTTTTTTTTTTTAAAGATTGTATTTATTTATGTATACAAGAACTGGGGTACTGGGGTACAGGCCAGGCCAGAGGTGGGGGCAGTGAGAGGAGTCACCAGAGAGAGTGGGGAGCACAACAGGCAGATTAACTGAAATACACTGCTGAGGGCATCAGCAAGACAGGAGAGGTCTATCATACCATGTGGGTCACCTCCCTGGTTGGGGATTGAACTCATGCTGCAGTGGCTGTGGATTGCTTTATAGTGTTGTGCTTAACCCGTTGTGCCACCAGGGAGGGCTTTGATAAAAGAATGCTTTTCTCATGCCATGTAGGAGCTCAAGAAACTGTGTGTGTGTGTATGTGTGTGTGCGTGTGTGTGTGTGTGTAAGAAAAAGAGAAATAGAGCAAGAAAGAGAAAAGAAAATCATTACTGATATTTAAGTGATATGTCCATAGGAAAAAAGTTACAGTAAGAGGCACCCTGAACCCTGAGCAGCAGCCAAAGGCCTGCTGCTTCCAGACTCAGCACTTAACCCTCCCCATTCCTAGATCTGTCCTTTCCTCCTCTCATTTCTTATTTAATTAACTTCTCTTCCTTTAAAACTCAATTCTAGTACCTTTTTTGAGAAATTTCTTTAATGCTTCCCTTATACCATCTTTACTCTGTGTCCCTTCTTATCATTTGCATAGTGCCCTGTGATTACTATTTCTCAGTGGTAGTCATACTACATTGTAAATGTAATTTCTTCACTTTAGCTGCAAAACAGAATCTACACTCTTTAGTCTAACATGAAAATTCTTCCCCCATCTGGGAGAAATCAAACACTATACAAAAATTAAAATGATGTAAGAAAATAAACAAATAAATTCATTATAAAACTTAAAAAAAAAAATCCCCCTGGGCCCTCCCTGGTGGCACAGCGGGTTAAAGCACAGCACAAAGAAGCTTAAGCCACTTCTGCATGAGTTCGATCCTGCCTGCCCGGGAGGAGATCCACATGGCAAGGCAGACCTCTCCTGACCCACCTGCTGCTCCCCTCAGCAGTGTACTTCGTCGATCTGCCTGTGCTGTACCCCACTCCGTCTCTGGTAAATCCTCTCACCCTCTGCATCTCTGGCCTGTACCCCAGTTCTGTACGAATAAATAAATAAATCTTGAAAAAAAAATTCCCCCTGTCTGACCTTAACCTTGCTTTGAGTTATTTTCTCTCTCCTTTTCATGTGCCCTGTGTCATCCAAACCAGACCATTTGCCTTTCCACAAATATATTCATACCAATATTTTATGTATTTGCCTCCATCTGTGATGTTCATTTCACCTTCTCCACAATTTCAGTCTGTCCAAATCCCACCTGTGCTTCAAAGCTCAGATCAAAAGCAACCACTTCCTACAGCTTGCTTTCTCCAATCCTGTTGCTGACAAGATCTTCCTTCTTCAAACCCAGCATCCTACTTTGCAGTGGTCTGTGCACACATTTTAGTCCATTACCACACTGGTAGGAACAGTCACTATTGCCCCAGAAGGACCATCTCCCTCCCTTGCTCATGAGGTACCCAGTGTTGGCAGAACAAAGACCACCAGATCCTTAGTGGGCACAGTGGTTTCTACTATTCAAATAACTAATAGAATCAGATGGGAATAAACTTTTCAAATGAAGGGTATCTAAGGGCCTACATAATCACACCATTAATATGTCTTATACTCAGGAAACCACCTTTCTTACCAGAATAATAATTACCAGTTACTACCAGAATAATAACAACAACCAATCTCTATTGGTGGTCTGCATGTGGATCATAAATCTAAAATAGAGAATTCCTTGCTGAATTCCATTCAGCAAAAATGATCTGCTAAGGAGTTTTAAAAGCAAGTAAAGGTATCATATTTTGGTTAACTGAAAATACGTAATGACTAAAAACTGTGAGATGGTCCCACAGCATGATAAGCAAGCAACAAGCAAATACTAGTTCTGCATAGTTACAGTGCAAGGTACATTTCTTCTATGAGATGTATTCTGGATTTGAGGAATAGGGAATAAATTAACAGTTAACAGGCAACTTTGAAATCCTCCTGAAGGTAAGGGGAAAATATTTGATTTGATTACAGACATTTTTCTACTTTCTACTTTGTAAACACAATTGACACATAGTATTTGAGACTTGTAGAATGGACTACCCAAGTTTTAAAAATTAAAGACAAGGGCCTGCCTGGTGGTGCAAGGTGTTAAGTCTCAGCACTATGAAGCTATCCTCAGCCACTTCAGCAAGAATTCGATCCCCGGCCAGGGAGCTGACCCACATGGTGCAGCAGACCTCTCCTGTACCACCTACTGCTCCCCTCAGCAGTGTATTTCAGTCCATCAGCCTGTCTTGCTCCCCACTCTGTCTCTGGTGACTCCTCTCATCCCTGCACCTCTGGCCTAAACCCCAGTTCTTGCACACATAAATATATCAATCTTTCAATAAAAATAATTATAAACAAATAAATAAAATGAAGATTAATTCAAATGTTGTAACTCCTTTGGAAAAATCAGTCATCACATGCACATTTGGGCCAGCCTATGCCCTCGCAGTCTCTATTTCCAAGTAATCTCAGTTTAGCACTGTGGCAAAATTGAGATACAGTTACCAAAAGACTGGACACTTCCATTATGTTACCTCCTTGAATTTATGACACTTTAATGGAACACATGTTCCATTAATTATTTTTGGCCCTCTGTAGGTGAACTTCAGAAATATGTTTTAAATTCAAGTTTTTCTTATCATATTTCTTTAAAGAAAGTAAATGAGAAAGAACCTACTTTATGCAAAGGAAAAATCAGGCACAAGTTCTACTCCCAGCATCCCCTGCTCTCTTGACTACATCTTAACTCCGTTCTTAACACACCAGTCCATGCTCCATTAATACATGCTGCATTTGCCACCTCTGTGTCTACTTCACCTTAAGCCCTACTTCACCTTAAGCCCTTTCTTTATCCTCCAGTCTCAAAAATAACATTCTATCACATCTCACGGATTGCCATTTACCCCAAACAGAAAGATAAAGAAAAGGAAAAAAAAAGGAGGAGGCTGGGGGTACAGACACCTTTGCCTACTGAAATCATCCTTGTCCTCTAAACAGGTAAGGTTCCACTCAAAAGTAAACACCTCTATTAATCTTTCACAATCCTGCTCCATCATACCAGTCAAAATTAATCTCTCCTGACTGTTTAAGTTATTGTCAGGCCTCTCTCCCTAAAATGTCAGGCTCTGAAAAACAGGGTTTTACTCTCTGGTAAATTCCCTGTTGTGCAGAACACAGTACTGTGAGTACAGGAAGGCTTTTTGTTCTTTTAATTGGAAAAGACTGACTATGACAATACAGGAAATGACCACTGGACCTGAGCTAGGATTTCCTATTTCTCACTCCCACCTCTGAAATCTATGTTGGTCAGATGACAAAAAGTCTACTTCACTAGCCATTTATAAACATTAATTTTCTTTTAATAGCTTGAACTAAAGACAAGGAAAATGTGAATCACTTGCCTGATACCATGTATGTTTTTGATTGCATAGCTTATTTCTCTTCGTAATTCTTTCTCATTGAACTCCATCTGCAGATGCAAATTAAGCCACATTATGACACTTAATTCCTTTGGATAACAACATTGGAGAATATTAAAGAATGAAAATTACTTGACTTTGTTATTAATAAATGGATACTCGTGTCTTTCCCAGTCTAAACCCAGATGGTCAAAACATCTGTGTATATAAAAGTTCAAGGCAATGTGGGCTTTCTGGGAGTTTCAGTGCAATGGACTCTAACTCTATTACAGATAAGGCATGCTAGGATGTCTCTGGAACCTAAATCTGACCATTCATTTCAAAAATGTAATTCTTCATTCTTTTGTTTGCCTATGGTAATATATTCATAATGAGTGCTTTAATGTCACTTGGTGTGCATGAAACACCCAACTATGTGATTAATAAAAGTTGTCTGCTTTCTCTGATCACTGAGTTCAGGGATTCTTTAGTAAAAGTCTATCAACAGTTTATCAACCCAACAAGATAGAAGACTGAATAAAAATTTCCCATAAGTTCCAAGTACCTTAAATTTATTTATTTGTTTGTTCTATATTTATACCTAAACTAAGGGATACCAGAGAACATTGTATTTAAGGCCCTGAATACTGAGACTTGGCCTCTCCAGCCTCCTTGTTCATTTTCCCACTCAGACTTCATGCCATACAGCAATGAGTTGCTTCAGCTCTCTACCCACACCCTGTGAACTCACTGCTCAGCCTTTACCATTCCTGCCTTTCTGTCTTGAACAACCTCCCCCCACCTTTTCCTGTTTAACTAGCTACTCATCCTTCCAAACTCAGCTCAGAAGCCCGGCTCCCTTGTGAGTTTGGGCTGGGATTCAAGTCCGTGGGCTGTGTTTCCATAGCACCCTATGCTGAAGTTTATCACTTTACTTAGCACATTTTAGTGAAACTATGTATTTACCCATCTGCCTCCCACACCAAGACATAAGCACCAGCCTCTGTATGTGAAGCAAGTAGCACAGTCCCTAAACTACACTTAGCCGCCTGTTGGGCTTTTAATGTTACCACATCCAAAACCAAACTCTTGACTCATACCTCCACAAAACATGGCTTCTCCTCAGTTCACTCAACTGATGGGCACTAATATTCACTGAGTTTATCAGCCAAAACTCGAGGAGTCATCATGAATCCTTTCTTTCCTGCATGCCCCATTGTAAACCAAGCCCTACTAACCCTTCTTCCAAAATCACACATGAAACAATTTTTCTCCATCCTCTTCTTTGAGGCATTTTACCTATGAAGCTAAAGAAGTTTAAGTTTCAGAGTTTCTCGCTTACATAAATCCCTTCCAAGACCCTGTGCCTAAGTGTGTGTTTATATTTTGTATTCTTCTTCTCCAACACCCACTTCTACCCATGTTTTTTGAGTTTCAGACCCCACAGAAAGTAGACCCACCCCTGGTGTGGCCTTACTGCTTAGTACACATCAGTTGTTTCTCCGAATCTTTCCTGGCCTCTTTAAAACCCAGCTCACCTAGAGTTCTTTTAAAATCATCAATCTAATCAGGGCCCACTTTTCCTTAAAAACATTTAGTACTTATTCAAAGAATCTGAAGTTTTTAGATTCCATTAAATGAGATCAGAATCTCAGTCAGTAAATGTTTCTCTCCTCAATTTCATTACCTGTGTAAAGTGACTTTTGTTCAAAGAACTATCATAGCTCCATACCAGTCACATATTTTGTGAACAGTTATGAATGAAGAATATGGAAATGAAGTGAATGAGAGAGCAAAATTAACATTTGTTACTAACCTTTACTATTTCAAAAGGAAAGCGTTCATGGAAAATACGATTGATTTTAGCACCCCCTGAGAGTTCCAGGGTATCCACTTGATCCCCCGACCCTTCAATTCTCTTCTCAAAGTCCACAGCAAATTGCTGAACCATCCTATATTTGTAAAAAAGAAATAAATTCAAGTTAAGATTATAAATCTTTGCATTTTCCGATCTTATTTTACTATTTTAGCCCTTACAGTCCTTTTCCTGGGGTTCTTAGTGGCACCTACTGGCAGAGTTAACAATGTACACTTCTCGTGACTCAAAACACACGTTAAGTCAAAATACACATTAAGAGAACAAAAGCAACAGCTTTTCTTCAAGAAACACAAAGGTTCAAGGGATGTTGTAATTATTTTAGTTATTAATTATAACAGTTGTGTAAAATACCAGTGTCATTAAATACATTCTTTCCATTAAGTTACAATCATAAAAAGAATACTGAAATGAAGAATTAAAGTTAAGCAACAAAACTATATAAAGTCGTGAAGCAGCCCCAGCTCCTCTGACACCACACTCTTTCAGAGGTCTAACCCCAAATGTGCCCCTTCATTCAGCTCCTAATCAGCCTCACCCCAGCATCACAGCTTCAGTCTCTCATGTGAATACTGACCATATGACTAATGATCTACTGGACATTTGTCTCCTCTCAGCTACCCTGGATTCAGTGGACTAAACCCTTAACTTCTCTCACTCCCAAACCTGCAGACTCTCCTGCTCCCGTGCGTGAGCTTCCCCTGTCAGGGGATGGCACTATTCATCCAAGGGTATTCTGCACTGCCCTCTGCAGCATCCCATATCTCCATGGAGCCACCAAGTGATCACATTCATTTTAAGCTTAATGAATGCTTGCTTGCTTTCTCTCTCTGTCTCTTTCCCTCCTTCTCCCTCTCTCCCAATAGTCAGTGCTTATCTCACTGTACTACTGTGAGTGCCAAATGAATTACTACATGTTAAATTCTTAACACAGAACGTAAAACATGGTCACCCCTTGAAAATGCTTTCTTTTGTTGTTTTTGTGATTTGAACATTTAGAAGTTGCTCCACAGCAATGGACTGTGGTGGAAGATTACAGATGCCTTGGTGCTGGGTGTGGTGTGGTAACATATTTGATGAGGTGTGAGCCTATACCTCTTGATCATATACAGTGTTTTAAACAAATGTTTACTTTGGAAATAATAATTAAATAAATAAAAATTTAAAAAAAAATCTCCCTTTTATAAAGGAACAATATTGTGCATTTTATTTATTTCCTTTTTGTCTTCTGATTGAAAGGAACTTACAGCAAGTTGAAGAACAGAGATAAGAAGACTGAAAGGGCTAGAAGAAGTTGAAAGAGGAAATAAAGATAAAAGACACAGGAATTGGTAATTTTCTAACAATTCTGCTGTTATAATCCAAGATCCCTGGGGGACAGGGTTATTAACCCCAAAATAATGTTGAAAAACCATGAGCAGTGAAAAAATAATACTTAGCAGTTTTCACCTTTGCATTTTTTATTTGAATGACTTATTAATTGGTTAATTTAAGTAATTCTTCTTATCTATAATTTTATTGTGGTAACAATGGCTTACAACACGATATATAACTCAGACTTTCTAGGCTCATCCCTCTTCAGACATAAATCAATCTTTTATTTTTAAAGGGCTACATTAACATCATTGCTCAAAAGGTTGAAACAAATTTAAAAGTGACTTAAATGGTCTATACTCTTTTATGAAATTATGGATCTCATTTTATCGGAAAAATGCAAATAGACTGATTACATGAAATGACTAAAATGACAAAATAGTAAGTACAAGTGACTATACCCTCCAGATGACATTTTCAATGGGAGCTTTGTCTACTTTGACAAGACAAAGACAAACCCCCAACTGTGTTATCACTATTGGTTTTATTCACTTATTGAATCCAATTTAAAAGTACAACAAAACCAGGCACAGGGATGAGCACTTGGTTAAATTTATCACAAGAGAACAAAATCAACAGCTTTTCTTCAAGAAACACAAAGGTTCGAGGGATGTTGTACAACATATACAAACCTCATGTACTTTACTTAACTCTTTCACCAAACATAGAAAATAACATGACAGATAGCCTGAAGCAAAACCAAAGTGGAGAAATTAGTTTAAAATACTGAAGGCAGGAAAAGAAGGGAGACTCACTGCAGCAAGGCTTTGGTCTTCCTGGTGGGGTCCTCTGGCTTGAAGTTTTTGTAGGCTTCTACCTCATGTTCTATGGAGAGCAACTGACCCTGTAGTTTGTTCCTAAAGTTTGGCAAGGTATCTCGAATGTGGTTGGTGAGTTGCTGAACAAGACAAAAGATCATACAACAGTTGAGAAATGAACTCATGAGACAAAAACTTGCCTTCACCACTTTCCTCATCATATAAAACTTGAGAAATCATATGTACATTTGACTTGTTGTGTGGGTAGATAATAGGAAGAAACTTAAACTCTCTCCTCCAATGACTTATGGGGATGCTCATAATTCCTTCAATTAGAGTCACTTCTTTGGATGACCTCATAATGTTTAGTAATCTGTTAAAATGCAACTTAGGTTACTAATAAGGCTGCTTAGTAACAGTTTGCCATAGATTGATTTACCATAGCACCTCCCATGTAGAAAGAAACTTTGAACTAGAATGTGCCCCAAGTGAAGGAAAGAGAGCTACAGAATGAAAGGGGCTCCCACACAGGCCCAGAAGTAACCATCAATTGTAAACTTTCTCTCCATTCTGCAACTGTAAACTTTCTCTCCATTCTGCAACTCAGCAGGTGCTTCCTCTACCTCCACCTGTAGGCCCAAGTCCAACTAGGGTTAGTCACTGGCTTATGCCTTCAACAGGTTACATAAAAAAGACTCCAGGACCATCAAGCAAAAGCTCTTTTTAACCCTGATATCTCTACCTAATTCTACCAACTGCTGACATTTTCACAGGGATCACTACTGGTGCCTCAAGCTCAACATAATTTAAAAATTTCTAATGATTGTCCAAGAATATATAAGCACTGAAGAAGAAATGGAAATGGAAATCCAAGACTGGTTAGCTCACTGCCTTATGTTCTTTTTTGTACAATGCAGTTAAAGATAAGTCTGAATTAAAAGAAGAAAAGATAATCTAGTTGAATTTAAGAGTAATAAACTCAGAATCAAGTAAAAGAGTGTAAATTTCCTAGAAATTCAGGGGGGAAATAATAAGCTCAAAGGGGAATTAATATGTTCAGTCTGAAAAAACATTTCAATCATTTCAAAGATTATCTGAGGCTACCTGAATATATCTATTCAATAAATGTACATTTTATTGTTCATAGTTTCATGTATTTTAACTCATGCCCTGAGCTATGACTTATTATGTTATTGCATTGACATGTTGTTATTACAACTTAGAATTAAACAAACAAAAAAAAAAAACCCAAAAGAATGGAGAAGACTGCATTCCCAGTAGCAATGTCATAAGAGATAAGAGACAGTCCCAAATCTAAGAGTAACAACAACTATGAGCCGCATTAACCAACTGACTGCCATATAGGCTAATAAATAATGAAAATATTTGGTTTCACCTTTTACTTCTTAGCCCAACAGCAAAACAATATTGTGGATCATTTTTGGCTTTCTGCAGCACATATTTCCCTGGTTTTCATGACCCCAGTTGCTCTCATTTTTCCCCTAAACTTCCCAGATATAGCTTTTCCATGTCCTTTACCAAATCATCCTCCTCAATCATACTTGTAAATACTGATACTCTAAAATCTGACTCTCAGACCTCTCTTATTTATTCTCTCTGTTCTCTCCTACAGCAATCTTATTCCATCTATGTTTCAATAAATGTCTAAACATCCAAATCAATTACAATCTTCAGACCAAATATCTTATCATTACAGCAGACATATTAATTTATACACCTGATGATTTTTCCTTCGGGATGTGTCAGTGACTCCTCAAACCTCAGTATGTTCAATACTAAGCACCCAGTCTTCCCTTCAGGATTTTTCATCTTGACAATTTCTTAACAATCTGGAAACTTGGGAATTGTCCTTGAGTTCACCTTCCCATCATTCACCAAAGCTAATCTATCACTGGTTTTCAATTTCTCTAAGCACTTCCCAATCAAGCCTTTTTTTTGATCTCCACTAGCCATAACCAAAGCCAAATCATCATTTCTCATTAACTCCACACTGGTCTTCTCCACCAAGACCTTTTTTAATCCACAAATGATTGTGCCATTTCCTTACACAGATCTCTAAAATAACTGCTCTTAGGACAAGTGTCAAAATTCTTAACTTGACCTACAAACATAACAGAAAGCAGCACAGGCTACATCTCCAAATCCACAACTTATGCCCTTTCCTCAAACCCCCATTAATTGACATTTCTTTCAATTCCTCAAAACTGTCATTTTCCCCCCTGAAATTGTTCCTCGGGGTCAGATATACTAGTGCACATTAAATCAGCAATAAAACTTTTCTAGTTTGAGACAATAAAGGGAGTAATTACCCAAGAAGAAAGAGATCTTTAGTACAAAACACATTCAATTTTTAGTCAACCGGAATCTAATTATATCATAATTTGGGAGTCACCTGTCATAATCAAATGGTTAATTATATCCTTTCTATTTTTCCAGTACTCACAAACTCATTTGTTTCTAACAGCATCTTTCTAATAATCATAGTGATTTGCCTCCCAGATTTCTTTCAGTTCACTTGTGTTTTTCTTATGCCAATACGACATAAATGCAAAAATCTAAAAAGGGACATACTAGTTCTAAATATACTGGTAGAATGTTATGGTTTCTGCATGACAAACTAGTGATTCTTTTCTAAAAACATTCATACTTTTTGAAAGACACCTCTATAGGACTACATTATAGCTTCCAAATATTCATCTACCCTTAATTAAAAAGTATAAACTTTACATTATTCTGTGTTTTGCTTCTTAAAATAGAATTATACCACTCTTTCTTATTTTTTTAATTCTTCAATTTGTTTTGTCTAAATACTCAGTGTCATACATAGCCTACTAATGTGTTAGTCTCTATTTGTGCCTTCTAGAAGTGAACAATCAGAATATTCAGCAGCTACTTGATTGATTAGCTGATTAAATTGTTACACAAAAGTTAAAGCATATCCTCTGAGAATATTTATGAGGAAAACTGCTCATCCTTTGTGTCCATATAATCAAAACTCAAGGCAAGGGCCCTACAATCAGTGAAAATAACCCAACTCCACTAGGCAAAGGAAAATATGTAACCAAGTAAGAGCACTGAGGTTTTACTGGAAAAAGTATGTACTAAGTTGAGATAGAGAGTGTTTCCAATTCTGTTTCGAGCAAAGGAGTTATCAGAAAAACTCCTCAGATGGGTCAAGATCAATGACTACTTGTTAGTATTTATTATATTACAGGTTTTTTATGCATGTAAGAACTGGGATGAAGGTCAGAGGTGCAGAACAGAGTGGAGAGTAGAACAGGTAGACCTACCTACTAAAATACCTAGAAGGGGAACAGTGGGTAAAACAGGAGAGGTCTGCTATGCCATGTGAGTCAGCTCCCTGGCTGGGATTGAACTGAAGCCACAACATTGACAATACTAAGACTTAACCCTCACATGACCAGGGAGGTCCCTCTATTAAAGATTTAAATATATATATGTCAGTCCTAATAAAAAACCATAAAGAACAACTTATCTAACCATTAAAGATTAAAATTTCAAATTCAAATCAATACCACAATGAGATACACAATCTCTGATATAATAAATACTAAGTAGTCATTGATCTTGACCCATCTAAGGAGTTTTTCTGATAACCTCTTTGCTCACAACAGAATTGGAAACATACCTTATCTCAACTTAGTACATACTTTTTCCAATAAAACCTCGGTGCCCTTACTTGGCTATATATTTTCCTTTGCCTAGTGGAGTTGTGTTATTTTCACTGACTATAGAGCCCTTGCCTGAGTTTTAATTATAAGAACACAAAGGATGAGCAGTTTTCCTCGTAAATATACCTCACACCCATGAGAATGGCTCATATTTTAAAAAACTAGTCACAATAAATGCTGGTGAGGATATGGAGAAAAAACCCTCTTACACTGCAGGTTGGAATGCAAACTGGACCAACCACTATGGAAAGCTGTATGAAGTTTCCTCAATTTACTAAAAATGGATCTACCATATGACTCAGCAACTTCACTCCTAGAAATCTACCCAAAGGACACCAACACATTAATTCAAAAGGAAATCTGCACTCCTATGTTTGCTACAGCACTGTTTACAATAGGTAACATATGGAAACAACCCAAATGCACAAATATAGATGACTGTATCAAGAAGATGTGGTCTCTGTGTGTGTATGTGTGAATATTATTCAGCAATCAAAAAGGATAAACTCTTGCCATTCATAGCAACATGAATAGAGCTAGAAGGGATTATGTTCAGTGAAATAAGACAGAAGGAAAAAGAATTATTCAATAGCTTCACTTAAAAGAGGAATACATGGAAATCAGACAAAGGGTCAAAAAAAAAGGGCAAAAACTTGCAGGAAAGCTATAATCTGAGGTATACTGCATGGGGAGGGAGGGAGGGAGAAGGGTCAAAAAAGGGGGAAGAAGATCACAAAGGATGCTGGTGACAATTCATGAGTGATGTGGTGGTGGGAGATTTATGGGGACTACACATGAGGGGAGAAATCAAATATTCAAATATTCAAATCAATAATGAACATTATTAAGAAAATAAAAGTTACCCCCCAAAATTTTTTAATTAACATTTCAAAAACATATCCAAAAAGACGAACCTTTCAGATGTATATAAATTCAACTTAACTACATTTTGTGAGTGAATGTGTGTTAAATATATACCCGTCCATTTTTTTAATTAAGAATGTGTTTCGGGCCCTCCCTGGTGGCACAGTGGGTTAAAGCACAGCACTAAGAAACTCAATCCCCACCTGCCCCGGAGGTGACCACATGGCACAGCAGACCTCTCCTGACTCGCCCACTGCTCCCCTCAGCAGTGTACTTCGTTGATCTGCCTGTTCTGTTCCCCACTCTGTCCCTGGTGAAGCCTCTCACCGCCCCTGAGCCTCTGGCCTGTACCCCAGTTCTGTATGTACAAATAAATAAATCTTTAAAAAAAAATTCAGAAATAAGAATTCCAGTAGTGACACATTTCATAATTATTCCTATTGCATGAAAGAACTTTACCTGATTCAGGACCTTCTGCAAGTGTGGGGTCCCCATTCGATCAGCAATGTGTCTGTAAGCCGGGTGTGAGAGAAAAAATTTTCTTTCTGCCAGCATGGCAGCTTTAATGTCCTTCTTCCCATCTATGTCCTTCTGACTTCGGTTTACCACCCCCACATAACCTGAAATAAAACACACACACACATACGTGGAGTTTGGACATTTTGTGTTGCTCATTCTGAAGAGATGTCAAAGCTCTCAAACAGATGAAATAAGGAAGGAAAATGTAGTTTTAAAACCTGAAGAAGTTCCTTTACAAAACTCATTGGAGACATCAGCAGTAAAAAAGGCCAGCTGCTTTGATTAATGACAATTTTTAGTATCAATAGTGTCTTTGTCTTTAAAACCTCTGTGCATTCTAATACAGTATATCTCTTAGGCTATTCTGTCATGTAGAGGGCAAATAAATGAGTCAGACTTAAGATAGACAGTATATATTTATGCAGTCTATGAGGAATATTTATACTCTCCCTTTAAACCCCTCCCTTTTCCTGTTTTTTTCATTCCTGTTATTTTAGGGACTATTTCCCTTTTTAATACTGTACTTGAGAACACAGCTCCATGCCATATAAAGTATAACTAATCATAAGTCCATTCTTCACAACCATGGACGCATTAAGACCACGCCTCCATTGGTTTTCCCATGTCTTTCTGCTACATCCTCAAGTGAATTCCTATATAGACACAGTGATTACCCCTGCGTAGAGGCAGCAGTTTGTTCTCTAAAACATCCCTGGCATCTGTTCCTTCATCCATAAGATCCAGCTTGGTGATGACTCCAATGGTTCTCAGACCTGCATCATAAACAAAGAGACAACATTACATCATTTGCAGAAGACTAACAGATTTTAGAGGCATTATGTCCCGATGCTAAATATGACATTACTATTCTTGATTTGTTTACTGTTCCTCTTAGTCTTGTTTCATTTTCTAATACATTGGTATGCCAGTCAAGTGAAATTTGATGGAATGAGACAGAAAGTTACAAAAACACCTATCTATATTATACCTTTTGATTCAAGAAAGAAAGGACAAATCACTAAACCACCAAATGTTTTTAGATATTGAGTTCATTTTTTTTACCATGTATATTTAGAAATGATACATTTTAATTTTTCTCCCAGATTCAAAAATATGAATGTTTCTATATTTTATGTGTTATATTACAAAAACAAGCAAATAGGGTACCCATGGAGCAATGATGAGAGTATATCATAAACCGAGATTAATTACTGATCCAATTCTGAGCATCAATTCTAAGGTCAAAAAAAAAAAGAAAATTAGGTATTCGGAAGAGCACACGTCTGAACTCCAGTCACTGTTCTGAGCATCAATTCTAAGGTCAAAAAAAAAAAGAAAATTAGGTATAGTATAGATAGTATCATCACTAAAAATAAATTTGCAAATCTCACAGCTTTTACTGTTTCTTAGAAAAAGAAATATGAATAAGTTTCTAAATCTGATTTAGAAATTCTGTGGTTTGGATTCCAGTCTCAAAACAAGCAACATAATTCTTTGGGTCTCAGTTTTCCTTGTTTTTAAAATAATGTGTTGGAAAACATGATCTCCAAAGTTTCTTTCACCAATTAAAATAACGTCAAAATCTACACATTTAATACAACATATCAGATCCACACACTTGTCCCTTGCTTCCTTTAGTAAACAGTATTTGCCTAGTGATTCATAGTGGTTGTTGTTTGCATTAGATTTTTTTAAAGATTTGCTTATTTATGCATACAGCCAAAGGAGTGGAGAGAGGATTGCCAGAGACAGAGTGGGGAGCAGAACAGGCCGACTGATGAAGTACACTGCTGAGAGGAGCAGCAGGCAGGTCAGGAGAGGTCTGCTGTGCCATGTGGTCACCTTCGGGGCTGAGGATCCAACTCTCACTAAAGTGCTGCGGCTCATTGGCAGTGCTGCATCCTTACCCGTTGTCACCAGGGAGGGTCCAATTCATAGTTTTAAGTGTATTCTTTAGATTTCCAGTCAGATAAGGTTGAACACAATCTTCCATGTTTTACCTGTTAGTACTCTTAAATTAGGAATGATTAATGTTAATTAAGACAACTATGGCTTTGAATGCCTTTCATAAATTTTCAACCATTTAAAGATGAGAAAAGATGAAGACAGATTAGATAATTTCCCAGGTTAAACAGGCAGTATCTCAAGGCAGTGTGGTTCCAGGGCCCTTACTTTTAAGCAATAACTGATTCTCACAGTAAAAAATAACAATAATAATATTATTTTAAAAAAATCTCAAACCAAGAATATTAAGAAAAAAATGGAAGAGTACTAGAGGGGGGAAAAAATGAAACTAAAATTCCAGCATCATGACTGCTAACAAATTTAACAGACTAGAAAAAAAGGAAAACTTCATTCAAGAAAGCCAATAATAGGAGAAACCCAGAAGCTGGGTAATTTACAATACAGCATCTCAAAAAGGTTCAGGACCTAAGGAAACAACAAACCTTAAAATATGGAGAATGCTACTGCCACTAAAAGCTGAAACTAGGAGCATAGGGTGAAATCAGATAGACCTCCACAGACAGCACATCTGGGAATTACCCTGATCATCCCAGCAGGAGAGAATAGGTTTACTCTCCAAAAAGATTAAGTTAGAAAAAAAAATAGGAACCTATCCCAGTTTAGGGAGATCAGTTATTTAAAGAGCATGACTATATGAAATTCTATATACAGAATGTCAGGACCTCATCTTTCCCCATTTCAATTACCAAATTTGACTTCAAGCAAGAGTTGGCTGGCATTCTTGAAACACCGTCCCCCAACTCACCCTGAAGGAGATTGGAACATTTCCAGGGGAAATTAATCATCCCAAGACAGAAACATATTGATATTCAGAGGAAACCCAACAAAAATAAGTCCAGTAGGAAATCCTGCTGTTAAATTTACCACTCATTATGTCAGGTACACCACATACAGTTTTCACCACCTGTCAGTATTTCACTTTTAAATATCAATGGACACCCAAGGAGATTCTATAATGAGATCAAAATAAAGAAATTTTATAAAACAGAACTTTTACAAAACAGTGCAAAATACAGAAGAAAACTCCATTATTTTATATTAATATTCACTGAGAAAAAGGAGAGATCACTACATTCATGGAATAAGAATGTGATGTCATCAAAGGAAAGTCAAACAAAAAGAATTCTCAATAAATAAAATGTAATATTAGAAATAAAAATGCTCATAGAATGGTTGGGATCCACAACCAAGATGTCTTCCCCAATATCAGAAGGAAAAACAGTAAATAATAGAAGGGGGGGGGAATTCTTAAATGGAGAAATGAGACAGATTATTTGAATAAGTGGCTTTCCCTGAAAGCTAGAGGAGATCAAACAGAAACAGTCAAAGCATGAGGGCACATTACTCATAAAATAAAAGAGTTTATAAATTTAATGATGGCATAAAGTGCCCAATACTCTATGAAAAACACAAACAATATCTCAGAGCAGTATAAGAATGCAAGATGTTGGGAAAAAATACAATATCCTAAAAGCACCCAAAAAAGTTAAAAAACTAAAAGCAGCAAAACAAATTCTAAACTACCCAGAAATGTGACAAAATAAAAGTATGTCAATGGACAATAAATATCCTTGGTCTCTAGAAAAAATATAAAAGACTATTCATAGTTTATCATCTTAGCATCAGACGTGATAATTCTACTACTAGCTAACATTAATGGTGCCTGATGCACCCAACAGTATTATAAGTCCTCACGACAGGATCTCATTCAGTATTAATGACAATCCAATGAAATAGATACCATATCACCCCTATTTCATTCCTGAGAACTTCAAGACATAGTGAGCAACTTTATATTTATAAATATTATGCAAATAGTATCAGTATTAATGACAATCCAATGAAATAGATACCATATCACCCCTATTTCATTCCTGAGAACTTCAAGACATAGTGAGCAACTTTATATTTATAAATATTATGCAAATAGTATCATTGGTAATTACATTTTTACTCTAAGCCTTTTTTCTCAAGGAAAAAATGAAAAAAAAAGAATTTGTAAAATATCAAAATAGTTTACTTCCCTTTCTTCACTTTTTGGAATCTTCTAAAGATGTGATCCACCAAACACAGGAACAAACTAACACCTTTTTGTTAGACAAGACATAAGATCTAGGAATGAAGGGGATATAGTAAGGAAAAGATATATAACTTTACAACAAGAAAAGAAGAATTTCTAGGATGGGGTAGAACCCAATGCAAAATCAGGGGAGCAAGCAATATGTATCTGAACAAGAAGGCATAGATTAGTGAAGATATGTCTTTCCCTATCCAGAGAAGAGAAATAAATTAATGCCTAATGCCTAAATATCTTTGTAAAGGGACAAAGATATTTAGACTTCTATAGGAAAGAATGGAAAAGCATTTTTGATAGAAGACTATGCAAACAAACAAAAACAGAAACATCAACCTCACAAAAGATATCCATGTAATAAAAGAGATATAAAAATATAATAAAATATAAAGGAGATGTAATCATAACTTACATAAAGGCCTCAGCTGTAGACAATATTTTCAGAAGTCATTAATATTCATTAACCTAAATATGTTAATGTAAGGGCATTAGAATAGGAAAGGATACGTGTATATATGTAAGTATGAGAGATGTGGGTATAGAAGATAGAAATAAGACAATGAAATTGTTCTCTTCCACAATTAGGATGTCAAAAGAAATATTAAAAACTTTTCAAATCACAAATTAATGGCAAAAACAGGCTACATTAAAATATGGAGGCAAATACCAAAAGAAAGACAGAAGAGTTGAAAGTACTAATCTCTGGAAATGAGTAATCAAGAGTTGGAAGATATAGACAGAGGACTGATTTTTTTTATTAAGAGCCTTGGGGACTGACTGATTTCTTTTAAGGTATAAACTTCTATAACAATAATAACAAAAGTGGTTTTTCGAAACTATTTTGTTTAGTGTTCCCTTATTTCTGTAAAGGGTGGAAGAGTCTATGCTTAGTGGTACCAGAAATGACAAAGGACAAAGGTAATCATTTTCTCTCTTATATTTGGTTATGCAAAAAAAAAAAAAAACAGCTTAAAATAGTTAGTGAACTTCTGGCATTCTCAAGACCTTCATTGATAAACCTCAAAAAGGCATTTCCAGAAGAGAATGAAGAGCAGCATATTTTAAAAGCATTCATCTGAGAATCTCAAGTCTCAGATAAAATACAATGATTGAAACCCACTTGCTGTGTCCTGATTATGTGTCAAACTCATCTAGGACTAGAAGCAATTCTTTGAAATAGGTATGATTATTTTAATTACACAATAAGGAAAATGATCTAGACGGGGGAAACATGCTTGCTTCAAGAGTGGGAAATCCAGGTCACCCCATTCTAATCTTGATCACTGTGTTTTCAGCCTCCCAATTCTTAGCTACATTCTACAGGTTATTAGCTATGTTTTTTGTTTAGTTAGTTATTTGCCTTTGTAGCTGCAGAAGTAAAGTTTAATTAGATGTTTCTTCCAAGTGGAGAATCCTAAGGAGAACCTCCAGATTTTGAAGAGGTTGTGTACAGTAATAAAGAGAATTTAATAAATTCTTGCCTTCCAACTAAAAGGAACATAAAAATGCATCAAATTTTTAAAATAAAGTAAAATAAAGCCAATACATAATAATCCCAGAGATGAATGCTGATAAACCCTGATGAAGACTCGTAAAAGACACAGGTATTTCAAAAACCTGATTGATAAATAACATAGAGGCTACAGCACTAACTCAGGGAATCTGACTGTCTCG